TATTAGCGCTTGGACCCCGCCTTTCTTACCAATTTATTTTTCCTCTATTAATCCACTACTACATATATTTCTCTTACACACGCACAAACACCCCCCCCCCCCCCCCAGGAAGCAGCCAGTAGCAGTTGTCTAAGTCCCAGGCACCTATTTACTGCTAGGTGAACATCAGAGTGCATCAGGGGTGAAAGAAACTCTGCCCATTTGTTTCTGCCTCTGCCGGGCTTCAAACCCGGGCCCCCTCCCCCCTTAGAACAACGACCCCAGAACGCTGTCCACTCAACCACGAGACTTGCGTGTGTGAACGCGCGCTTGTGGCTGTGTTAGCGCGCCGGTGATGTTCAAAGCTTAGTTCAAGCTCACAGTTCAAGCTTTTCTTATTTGAACATTGAGGAAAATGGTCGATTTAGAGTTACCACTGTTTGTCCGTCTTCAAACGTGACTAAAAAGAAAAACCCACGTTTAGTAGTAAAAAAAAAAAAAGTCCAGCTTTCAAACTAAAAGAGTCTCAAGATTTTCATTTTTTTTCCTTCTTCGCCTTGCTTCTCGTGAGCACTTGAAATGACTCACGATAATGCTCTGGAATTCGGCGCCAATTTCCTTTCGAAATTCTTTCCGGCAGATTTGATTCCCTGAGTGGCGGCATTCAGGGCATGTTTCTTGGCGTGTCTTCAAAAGGAGGTATTTTCTTTTGAGTAGATTTCTTGGGTTGCTCGTGGCATCCTTTCTTGGTCTTTTCTTTTTTTTTTTTTTTATTTCATTCAGGGTCAATCATTCTGGTGCAGGTGATGAGTCATAATAACGTGGCTAAAGTATGTTGACCAGACCACACACACTAGAAGGTGAAGGGACGACGACGTTTCGGTCCGTCCTGGACCATTCTCAAGTCGACCTGAGAATGGTCCAGGACGGACCGACACGTCGTCGTCCCTTCACCTTCCAGTGTGTGATCTGGTCATCAATCATTCTTGATTTAACAATTTATTGTTAGCTCACTGAAAATATTTTCGTGAACTTGTGATTAGTAATTAGCAGTCCTACAGCCCTAACTACCCCCCACAACCCCACAACCCCACAACCCCACAACCTCACAACCCCACAACCTCACAACCCCACAACCTCACAACCCCACAACCTCACAACCCCACAACCTCACAACCCCACAACCCCACAACCTCACAACTCCACAACCTCACAACTCCACAACCTCACAACCACCTCAGACCCACACTTCCTCCTCTCCGCACCTCCGCCCACTCGACTCTCCTAAATAAACCTTGACAGCATATAACGTAAAGTACATACTGGAGTTTGCCCTCGACCCTCGTCTCGCTAATTCCAATTTCATGATTCTTGGTATTTGCTTATGACTTAACGTATATGAGGCTCTGGCCGTTCGAAAATGTATAGATCTATAGTAGACATGCAGGGCTGTAAGTACTCAGAGCTGCATACCAATTAATAACCTTGGATTTGTGAACTTTCCGAGCTCGTAAACTGTTTAATAAATGTAAACAAGGCCGCCATGGATAAGGAAAGATGTTTACGGGGTTTCGTAAATGGGCCTCTGAGCCCCAGGCTCTGTGAGTCGTGGCTCGCTACTCCTTCATCTCCTCCTTCAGTTCTTTGTGTAGTTTTTCCAGCGGGCGGAGCGACGAGACGCTAAGTAAACATTGGCGTGTTGTCTCGAAGGCTCCATGGGTGTCCTCTGGTCCTGGCCAGATTCTTTACGGTGGTCACGAGGTTTTTTTCCTCGACGTTTCAATCACCCAGCTGCTGGTCTATCGAGATGGTCTTAACCAGCTGCTGCAGGTCTCTTGAGATGATGTCAACCAGCTGCTGGTCTCTCGAGATGATGTCACCCAGCTGCTGGTCTATCGAGATGATGTCAACCAGCTGCAGCAGGTGTCTCGAGATGATGTCAACCAGCTGCTGGTCTCTCGAGATGATGTCAACCAGCTGCAGCAGGTCTCTCGAGATGATGTCAACCAGCTGTTGGTCTCTCGAGATGATGTCAAGCAGGTGTACTCTGACAATGTAGAAGACGAATTCATTTCCCATGACCGGTGCTACACCACGACCAAGCAGCTGGGCTGGCGGAAGCTCACTGGTGGAACTGGTTGGTGAGTTATGCTAATTAGTCAACCACATTTTTCAATCTCTTCTCCTCTGAATTTGAGCTTCATGTCCTGATAAGCCTGCGAGCGGAGGTTCTTATCACTGCGGATTTTATGGAGCTAGGATAAGAGGGCTGATAACCTGCCTTATCGCGGCCCAAGGGGCGAGTGTTAAGCCTCAGTGGCTGGCTTCTTCATGTGATGCATGAAGCCTCGAGCAGCGTGCACTGTAGCTGGAGCATTCATAGATCTGAGCACGCGATGAAGCCCTGTAATGCAGGGGTTTGAACCTCGCGATGTCTCACACCACAACTGTGAACCTCGTGAGGGGCAGGCCGTGAGGGGTAGGCCGTGAGGGGCAGGCCGTGAGGGGCAGGCCGTGAGGGGCAGGCCGTGAGGGGCAGGCCGTGAGGGGTAGGCCGTGAGGGGCAGGCCGTGAGGGGCAGGCCGTGAGGGGCAGGCCGTGAGGGGCAGGCCGTGAGGGGCAGGCCGTGAGGGTGGGGTGAAGGGAGAGTGCGAGTCAGCTGCCTCTTAACTATTCACAGTTAGGGACTGTTGTCCGTTGTTCTCGGGTGCTGTTGTGTCCCTCAAGGAGAGTCTTGTCTTGTGACATAATGTATACTCGTGTCAGTTATATTGTCTGGGTTAATTGTTTTGGTTCGTTCCCACGCTCTTCTTTGTCTCGCATTCCAGGGGTGGGGGGGGGGATGGAGGGGGATGGAGGGGAATACTTGTTCTCTGGGGGTGGGTGGGGGGGTGGCTGTGGTTATCTTGAGATGATTTCGGGGCTTTAGCGTCCCCCGCCGTCCGGTCCTCGACCAGGCCTCCTTTTTTGTTATACATCCCCAGGAAGCAGCCCGTAACAGCTGTCTGACGCCCAGGTACCTATTTACTGCTAGGTAACAGGGGGGGCATCAGGGTGAGAGAAACATTTTGTCCATTTGTCTCCGCCTCCACCGGGGGATCGAACCCGGAACCTCAGGACTACGAATCCGAAGCGCTGTCCACCCAACTGTCAGGCGGGATCCTTTTCCTCTTTTTCCTTTTTACTTTCCTTTTTCTCGCGAGTGACTTTCTTGCATGTTTCTGTCATACGTGCCTCGTTCTCTCCAAAATGATTATAGACTGAACTTCGTCCTCCTGTTACTTAAGCAATAGTGTCATAATTTACAGGAAAGGTTCGCTCTGATTGTGGAATAACAGGTGTTGATTCCAATGATTTATTTCAAGACTAAAGTCAACTCACAGTGTATATACAAGGAGAAATTGAATAATACACCTGCCAGTGAATGTATTCTTGTCCAATATGTTGTGGCGTCAGTTGTCTCTCAGTAACATTTTTTTATTATAAAAACTGTGTTTTTAAGTTATGGCTGGAAAATAATATGGATCGAAGACATAGGATTCTTTCAACTTTGATAATTAATAATACAATTCAAAGGAATTGTTCGTTGGTAGATTTTTTAAAATATAAATTTAAAATAAAAATAATAATAATTTTGACTTTAAAATATAGATTTCAATACTATTAATCAGCATTAAATCTTGCATAACATCGGCCAACTTTAATAATTCTGAAGCTCGCCAGCCAGCTCGCTTCACCGCCACCTCGCAACGAAAACGGAATAATGTAAACAAATCGCCATAAAAGAAAACGGTGCGGTGGAACGGCTGGCATATTAAAATGTTTTTTCGGGAGGAAAATTGTGTGGGAAGCCGCAAGAGGTGAGTGTGCTGATGAAGGCTCGCTGGAACACGATTGCCTTCCATGGTGAGGCTCCTCCCACCCAACTGGGTGATGACGGCTCACTGGGAGACAATTACCTCCCATGTTGAGGTTCCTCCCACTTACCTGGTAGATGAAGACTGTTGTAGGTGTAACAACTCGTCTAGTGTTAGGAGTGTACAAGGTCTTCTACTGCTGTTGGTGCCCTGGGTTGTTCACTGATTGATTGATGAAGATTAAGCCACCCAAGAGGTGGCACGGGCACGAATAACCCTTAAGGTTATATACTGCTGTGCGTGTAGATATATTGAACGGGTATGCTTGGGTGTAAACAGGAACTGCTCTCACTCTTCACGAGCGTTTAAAACGATGTAATTATCTCGCCTTCAGACGAAGTGGACGACTTTTAAGTGGATTCACGACACGGTGTCCTATTTTTTTTCAACTTGCTTCAACGTCAAAACACAATAATACCAAGCAAACATATCTTGAAATTATTTAACCTGACCTTTTACGAAGCCATACGCCACGTAACCTAACCTAACACGTCGTGAAAATATAGAAAAACATTTAAAGTAACTTCGTTTTAAAACAAGGAACTCTTGAGATAATGGTTTTAATGGTGATTTGATGTATTTATGTATCCTGATAAGGAACCCATTACTAACGCCTCTTCTGTATGGCGTCTTGTTATGTAGGAGTTTGTCTGATCAAGCGATCTGTGTGTTCTAGGAAGCCGCTTGGCTTGGCCCTAACAATAGCCGGATAGATATTGACCATGTGTTCCTTTGCTCTATAATACACCCATAGGCCATGACTAAATATATGCTATATTAGAATTAAGATTAATATTCTCTTATTATTATTCTATTATTCTATTATTGTTATTCTATTATTCTCTTATTATTATTCTATTATTCTCTTATTATTATTCTATTATTATTATTCTATTATTATTATTCTCTTATTATTATTCTATTATTCTATTATTATTATTCTATTATTCTCTTATTATTATTCTATTATTCTATTATTATTATTCTATTATTGTTATTCTATTTATTCTATTATTAACTATTATTCTATCTTAATATCAATGGATGTTATACCACGCTAATTTTCCTGTTCTAGGATCTCACAATGTTCCCGTTTTGTTGCAGCAGAAGACGGCCTGGGCTCGCGGACGAAGGTGTGGGTGTGCGTGGTGTTGGTGCTGGCGGCCGTGGCGGGCGTGGGCGTGGGCGTGCCGCTGGCCCTTAGGGTCGACCCCGGCGCCTCCCTCCATGACCGCCTCGCTACCGCCAAGACGCTCCTCAGAGACACGCCGCTCTTCGACGGGTCAGTCACGGGGGTAACTCTTCGTCACGGGGTAACTCTTCGTCACGGGGTAACTCTTCGTCACGGGGTAACTCTTCGTCACGGGGTAACTCTTCGTCACGGGGTGACTCTTCGTCACGGGGTGACTCTTCGTCACGGGGTAACTCTTCGTCACGGGGTAACTCTTCGTCACGGGGTAACTCTTCGTCACGGGGTAACTCTTCGTCACGGGGTAACTCTTCGTCACGGGGTAACTCTTCGTCACGGGGTAACTCTTCGTCACGGGGTAACTCTTCGTCACGGGGTGACTCTTCGTCACGGGGTAACTCTTCGTCACGGGGTAACTCTTCGTCACGGGGTGACTCTTCGTCACGGGGTGACTCTTCGTCACGGGGTGACTCTTCGTCACCTTCTCTGCATGTGTTCCCAACCACTTGAGGTGGACGGTAAAGCAACGGTCTCGCTTCATGCAGGTCGGCGTTCAATCCCCTCGACCGTCCACAAGTGGTTGGGCACCATTCCTTTTCCCCGTCCCATCCCAAATCCTTATTCTGATCCCTTCCAAGTGCTATATATATATATATATATATATATATATATATATATATATATATATATATATATATATATATATATATATATATATATATATATTCGTAACGGCTTGGCGCTTTCCCCTGGTAATTCTCTCCCCCCCCCCTGCATGTGCTTGAACCGAAGTGTTAATTAATAGTTCATGATGTTTTTTCTTTACACTTTTTGCATTGTCCATCCACATTGAATGGCCGATACAGCGACGGACTCATTATTTGCAAGGTCAGCTTTTGATCCCCCTTTTTTTTAGCTGTCTTCAACTACTTGTTGATGTAAAGCCTTCCTCTTACTGAGAGCTTCCAGTGAAGTAGTCCCCTCTCATTCTCGTGGTCTTTAAACGTTGCTTCTTTGTCAATTCTATTTATAATTTTTAATGTCGGTATCATTTCTCCCTATTCCTTCTCACCTAAAGTGTGGTGATCAAGTTACATCAATCCATCCCCGTACTTCAGTCCCTTTAGGTCCGGAACCAGCCTTGGTACCTATCTTTGGACCTTTTTTGGTTCCGTTTTCAGTGAATGGTTCCACCCCGGTGCTGTATACTCAGGACCTGGCCTCACACTGGCTATATTTTGAACACGGCAGACTCCGCTGTTCGTATTCGATACTTGCCAGTGAGGTTATTCTGCCCCTGTGTGCCTGGAGACTTGGACTGGGTGCTGAAGGTGTTCTCAGAGTCTTCCTCCCTTTCTGGTTGGAAGAATACGTCTCTCATTCATCATGTGCTGATAAAAACTTCCACAGAACTTTCATCTATGTGTCCAGTTACCATCTTCAGAACCCCTTTCTAGTGGTTGACCAGACCACACACTAGAAGATGAAGGGATGACGACGTTTCGGTCCGTCCTGGACCATTCTCAAGTCGATTGTTGACTTAACCCTCCATCTCTAGTGGGTTAAGATTCCTTCCCCCTCCCCCCCTTGCAGGGTTTCAGGGCTTCGTTGTGTCAGGTCGTTGACATAAAGTAGGAAGAGCGAAGGCTCTAGTTCCGACCCCTTGTGGCACTCCACTCGTTACCGCTCTCCTGTCTGAGATCTACCCCTATGACTGTGAAAGTGTGTTTTATCGAAGATGCAGCTCTTCTCAAATCATTCTAACATTATGTCTTCCTTCCCATCCTTCCCTCCCCTTCCCTGGTCCCCGTCCCATCCTGCCTGGGACCACTGGGAGATTGAGTTACAACTCTCCCCACGTCGTAAATGTGCTTCTGAGAGACCTACCATGATCTTACGCTTCTTCATGGCACCATAAACTGGCCGACAACGTCCATGACATCACCCCCCCCACCCCATACCCCCCCTCTCCCTCCTGTCTCTCCTGCAGGATGTTGGGTTATTGAGCAGATAGCATGCAGAGGTTTGTGTTGGGAGAGGGAGGGGTTGGGGGGGGGGGAGTATAGACCTCTCTGACTGTGTAGGTGATGGCTGGGACTGTTTGTCTGTCCTCCCTTACCCGCCCCCCCCCCTTCTGTCTCTCTCTCTCTCTCTTTCTTTCTCTCTCTCTCTCTCTCTCTCTCTCTCTCTCTCTCTCTCTCTCTCTCTCTCTCTCTCTCTCTCTCTCTCTCTCTCTCTCTCTCTCTCTCTCTCTCTCTCTCTCTCTCTTTCTCTCTCTCTCTCTCAAGCACGCATTCACTAACTTGCCCAATCCATCCCTCACTCACCCTCCCACTCTGTCACTCACATTCTTATCCCCTTCAGTCACTCATTCAGTCAGTCACCCACTCACTCTCCACCTCTCCCATCTCCCGCCAAAATACCCAGAGGACAGAGCGCGCGCGGGTCTCTCTCTTGTTAACGCCCTGGAACACAAGACGGCTTCTTTCACCTCCGCCAAGGGGGGGAACACTGCTTCACAGCTGAGGAATCCGATGCACTCGACCTTGACGTGTGCCGAGAGCCGAGACGCATTCCAGAATTAGCGATGATGCTTCCAGGTCTGGTCATGGAATTCCAGTCAAAGCGCATCTGGAAGGTCCTGGGAAGCCCCTTGGGTCGGCAGGACTAACGGTAGACGCTCATCATCAATGCTGATTGCTGTTGCCTTCGTGTGTTGTGAGTTGGTGAGAAGGGTGATGTGTTGTGTGTGTTCTGTTGGTGTTTGTGTTGCGGTTGTCTGGCGTTGTAGGATGGTTTGTCATAGAGAGATACATCATATAGGTTTGCAGGCGATGAGTCACAATAACGTGGCTGAAGTATGTTGACCAGACCACACACTAGAAAGTGAAGGGACGACAACGTTTCGGTCCGTCCTGGACCATTCTCTAGTCGATTGCCATTCTCACAATCGACTTGAGAATGGTCCAGGACGGACCGAAACGTCGTCGTCCCCTTCACTTTCTAGTGTGTGGTCTGGTCAACACATAGGTTTTCCAGCACTGTCAAACATTGTGTAGGATGTGGAGATATTTTCAAAAAACAACACAAGAACGTAATTAAAGAGCTGGTGAAGCCTCGCACTTGCATATATGAAGCTTCTGAGGTGTTGGAAAATACGACCCGGATCCTTTCCCACAAAGATTCCACGTTAAGTTCTCAGGAATATGAGCGTCTTCACCAGAAACCTCTGGTCAAAATCCTATCTAATTATAGCAATTACCATATTGCATAGTCTGCTGGACATTTTATATTGCCATAATGCCAATGTGTTAAAATCTGCCACCTATACATAGGTGCCAGATTTAAACAAATTTGGTATCTGGCACAAATCTGGATTTACAGTTTGTTTAATATTCATTTTATCCTGGGATTTTAGGTTCTGTGATTTATCTCGTGTCAGACATAGGTGATGGGAGCAGCATAATTTTGACAAAAATAGATGAAGGGGTTTCGGACGAGGTAAATGTCTTCGTTACATGTTGATTTAGATAGTATATATGTGTGTGTGTGTCACCACAATGAGTTATGTTATGCGATCGAGACTCTAGACCTTTATTCTGCGTAGTGAGGAAGTTAGTCATGACTTCTGTTATGAAGTTCCTCATAAGTGAGGTCCTCAGGTCCTTTTTTGAGTCAGAGCAAATTTCTTATCTTGTGTGTGCCTCTTTAGCGTAGTGTTTTGTTAATTGTAGTGTAGGCAGTTGTCTGTGTCAGAAGTTCAGCCAGTATAGTTTAAAACTGATGGTCAGTGTGAAGGTGTTGTTTATATAGACATCTGGTTGGTCAGTTTAGTATCAATTTAGTCAGTAGGTGAAGTAGTTCATACTGTATAGACTGTTCTAGTAGGTCAAGAACTTGCTGTTCCGTTATTGTTGTTGTTAAAGATTCGCTACCTGGAACAAAACGTTCCAAGTAACACGGGCTATGGTGAGCCCGTAGTGCCCTATGTTCCGTTAAAGTATATGGAATCATTCAAATAGCATCCGCAGTGCAGATTGCAGCCTCTTCAGCTTGTGTAGGCATATCAATTACTAGTTAGCGTATCAAAACATTGCAAAGTGTGGAGTTTCACACGCTATTTTGAGGTGTACCCAGTTCAGAGCGGACAAAAAAGTGGCACTTTTGACCCTTTTGAGAAGTATTGATGCCGTTCCCTTTCTCAGATATCATCTGACCCAATCCACCAGCAAATGAAAATTTCCACCGTGACTCCAAATGAGGCCAAACGTTCTAATATATACCATTTTTTATTAGCTAGGGCAAGACTGAATGAGAGCTTTGTTCTTTCCGATAAAGTATTCAGTAAAGCAAGTCCGAGTGCTTCTTCGAAGACCTCGAGTAAGTTCGTTTCGTATTTGAGTCCTTAATCTGACGGTAGTAAAATTGCGGTGAATTGTGCACATTAATGATGTCAGTAAAATGGGGGCGAGTTGATGAGAGCTCAGCTTGTGTGAGTTGATGAGAGCTCAGCTTGTGTGAGTTAATGAGAGCCCAGCTTGTGTGAGTTGATGAGAGCTCAGCTTGTGTGAGTTGATGAGAGCTCAGCTTGTGTGAGTTGATGAGAGCCCAGCTTGTGTGAGTTGATGAGAGCCCAGGTTGTGTGAGTTGATGAGAGCTCAGCTTGTGTGAGTTGATGAGAGCTCAGCTTGTGTGAGTTGATGAGAGCCCAGCTTGTGTGAGTTGATGAGAGCCCAGCTTGTGTGAGTTGATGAGAGCCCAGCTTGTGTGAGTTGATGAGAGCCCAGCTTGTGTGAGTTGATGAGAGCCCAGCTTGTGTGAGGGTGTAATGAGATGCTGTGTCTAGCATCCATCTTCAGACCACCTCTCTAGTGGGTTAAGATTGCGGTTGGCAAGATACCGCCGTCAGCTTGGCTTAATTAAACAGCTCCAGCAGGGGCCTGTTGGGTAGGTTAGCCTGTTGGGTAGGTTAGCCTGTAGGGTAGGTCAGCCTGTTGGGTAGGTCAGCCTGTTGGGTAGGTCAGCCTGTTGGGTAGGTCAGCCTGTAGGGTAGGTCAGCCTGTTGGGTAGGTCAGCCTGTTGGGTAGGTCAGTCTGTTGGGTAGGTCAGCCTGTTGGGTAGGTCAGCCTGTTGGGTAGGTCAGCCTGTTGGGTAGGTCAGCCTGTTGGGTAGGTCAGCCTGTAGGGTAGGTCAGCCTGTTGGGTAGGTCAGTCTGTTGGGTAGGTCAGCCTGTTGGGTAGGTCAGCCTGTTGGGTAGGTCAGCCTGTTGGGTAGGTTAGCCTGTACTCTCTCATGGCACTGAACGTTACGCCATCTTCTCGTAGGCAGGCAGGGCCCACATAATGATCTAACTGCTTGTCTATCAGCAAAGCCCCTGGAGGGTGAGTAATGTGGACAGGTAACGGAGTGACGGGTTCAGAGATAGCTTTAATTTTGGTCCACGTTCGAACTGTGGATGTTGCATGATTGATGCCTAGCAACATTTTTGTATTCCCTGGCTGTTGTATAAGTTTGCTTTGTTGCTTGTTGTGTTAGTTTTTTTTTTAGACGGGTGTTAATGTTAGTGGTTGTGGTGTGGATGGAGGAGTGGGGTTGAGTGCAGGAATACACAAAGGTATGCAAAGCAAGTCAACAGCAACAGACAACAGGATCCAAACCGGTTTTAATGTTTGTTTCAAGGCGACATGTACAAAACAAGGTGAGGACAGGGCAAATATTTAGAATTGTTTAAATGTATATAGGATATTGAACACAGTGATATCTTCTGTGTATATGGTATTCCTCACAATGACGTCTTCTGTATATATGGTAATACCCTTAGTGACGTCCTCGGGTATATGGTCATACTCTCCTGGACGACCTCTAGTATACTCGTTATATACAATATTAATCTTAGTTATATCTTCTGGTACAAAATGTATTCCTCTGAATGGGAAGTCTTACGACTTCTGATCAGTTGAAAAAGACTCGAACCGAAGTCAAACCATTTTGTCCATCGCTTAAATGATTGCTTGTGAGTTTGAGTGTCTTCAGACAGACTCATTTAACTCGGGTCTTAAGTCTTCACAGTTCCTTCGTTGCACACCGATCAAGAAGTTTGCAATATCCCTCTTCACCTGTGATCACCGAAACGGTTTGCAATATCACCCTTCAACTAATAGTTCGACTTTTTGTTAGATTACTGATGGGATTATTAATAAAATATTATTATTATTATTAGTAGTAGTAGTAGTATCAGTATTGGTATTATAGTTAGTAGTATTTCGAAGTTAAAATACGTTAATAAAGAACTACCGCTTAAGGGGTAGATCAGGGGTCAGACAGGACTCAATATACCAAGCGCACCGTGGGTGCTGGATGCACAATATATTATCTCTTATTGACCAACCAAATGCATCAACACGGTTAAGCACCAATCAGTGAACACCAATGATGATCCAGTGCTAAACTGAGATTGGCATGACTGTCAATGACCAATCAGAGGCATGTCATACGTCAATCAAGATCGTAGCACTCGTTATGGTGAGCAAATGCCAATGAGTGCCCGTTATAGACCAATCAGCGCACAGCATGATGGATAAAATCCAATCAGCGGATGGCATGATGGACAAGAACCAATCAGCGGATGGCATGATGGACAAGAACCAATCAGTGCAAGTGAGGCCAGCATACAGGTGGACTCGCCAATCACCGTTCGGGCAGCCAGTCCCCCTCGGCCAATGAGCGTCCATCAATAACTGCTGTATTTTAAACCCAATTTTAATGATTATTAATACAGAGTTGTATTTTTAAATAAATTATTGTATTATTTAATGCTTATTGTATTGTTTAATGATTATTGTATTGTTTAATACATTATTGTATTATGTAATACATTTGTGTATTATTTAATACATTTTTGTATTTTTTTTCAGTGTTACCAACATTATTGAGACAACTACTGATCTAACGAGTTTGTGGTTGTTAGTGTCTGGGTTGAGTAAGTGAGAGAGAGAGAGAGAGAGAGAGAGAGAGAGAGAGAGAGAGAGAGAGAGAGAGAGAGAGAGAGAGAGAGAGAGGGAATTATCAGGAAAAAAGGCCATTACAAGCCATTACAACTATAAAGCATCTAGAGAAGGGATCAGGATAAGGATTTGGAATGGGACGGAGGAGAAGGAATGGTGCCCAACCATCTGTGGACGGTCGGGGATTGAACGCCGACCTGCATGAAGCGAGAAGGGGTCAGGATAAGGATGACTAGAGAGAGAGAGAGAGAAAGGGAGAGAGAGAGAGAGAGAGAGAGAAAGAGAGAGAGAGAGAGAGAGAGAGAGAAAGAGAGAGAGAGTCAGTGGTCGTGAAGCATTTCTGAAAAGCTTTCCTTATGATAATATTTTCTTCATAAACAATATCAAAGATCAACCCATCAAGCTAATGATTACGGCCACTCTTCCCCAACCTGTAAAAAAAATCAAGAAAAAAAAAACACTAAATGTTGACATCAAAAATTTTTTTTAGGGGGGGGGCAATTTCGCCATAAAGACGATGGGGGGAAATTTATAGGAGGCATAAAAAGTGGGAATAAACTGGGAATGCGTCATCTTACCGGACTGCTCCATTATCGGGATTAAACCCTGACTCACGAATTATGGAATTTTCAAACACGTGATCCGGTACACCTGTCGTTACCTGAGGGAGCCTTGTTGTTGTTGTTGTAGCCATATCGTGTCGTCGCCATATTGTGTCCCCTCACCTCCCCTCGTCGCCATATTGTGTGCCCTCACCTCCCCTCGTCGCCATATTGTGTGCCCTCACCCCCCTCGTCGCCATATTGTGTGCCCTCACCTGCCCTCGTCGCCATATTGTGTCCCCTCACCTCCCCTCGTCGCCATATTGTGTGCCCTCACCTCCCCTCGTCGCCATATTGTGTGCCCTCACCTGGCTCTCCTCCTCCCCCAGGCACAACGACCTGCCGTGGAACATCAGGAAGTTTATGCACAACAAACTTCACAGCTTCAACTTCACGGCCGAGCTCAAGAAGCTTCGTCCTTGGTCGCGTTCCTCCTGGTCCCACACCGACCTGCCCAGGCTCAAGGAGGGTATGGTAGGTGCCCAGGTGAGTCTAGGTGGTGTGTAGGTGGCCTTGGTGACCTGCCCAGGCTCAAGGAGGGCAGGGTAGGTGCCCAGGTGAGTCTAGGTGGTGTGTAGGTGGCCTTGGTGACCTGCCCAGGCTCAACGAGGGCAGGGTAGGTGCCCAGGTGAGTCTAGGTGGTGTGTAGGTGGCCTTGGTGACCTGACCAGGCTCAACGAGGGCAGGGTAGGATATATCACATCAGGATATATCAGTGAGGTAGGATATATCACACTCCCTGTGTGCTAGGAAGTATGCCCAGCCTGCTGGGATATCACTCTGATTACACAGAGTAATCACTCTCATATCACTCTGATTACACAGAGTAATCACTCTGATATCACTCTGATTACACAGAGTAATCACTCTGATATCATTCTGATTATACAGAGTAATCACTCTGATATCACTCTGATTACACAGAGTAATCACTCTGATATCACGCTGATTACACAGAGTAATCACTCTGATATCACTCTGATTACAGAGAGTAATCACACTAACGTGAGTACATCAGTGACACAGCCCCCCGTGCTCTATATACGACTAGGCCACGTCATGGTCTAGTCATTCTGGAACGTGTGCCTGAAAACACATAGGTTCGAATCTTCTTCACGGCTCCAGCGTACATTCTCATCACTTATTTATGTTAAAATATCCGTCTCCATGATTGCCAGGACATATAGCGTGCTTGGGTATCCCTCACTATCCATGTCATCTTCAACGCCAAACCTTCTTCACCTTCAGCAGTAGTTTTGCTCTCCAAAAACCAAAAAAAAGGGTTTTTCATCATTTTCATTAAAATGAAAAAAATCGGGCTAAAACTGGCAGCGCAGGACTCCCGCGTCCCGACGGCGTGTTAGGTAAACAAAAACATATTTAAACACAAGCGTGATAAATTTGCATACAAGAAGTTTCATTTACATATTTGATGCAAATTAAACAGAGCCTTGGAAAAAAATAAAAAAATCCCTCAGTGCTTGGAAAATAAACGACTACGTTAATGTAAGAAAATGTTGTACGTTAAACTCTTTCTAATTTTTATTTTCGTTAAATTGAGATTTGTTTTCCGAATTTAAATTGCAATTTGATATTATTATTATCTTTATTATTATTATAATTATTATTATTATTATTATTATTATTATTATTTGTATATGAGTCAATGTTCCCATATAATCCCACAAAGTTCTGAGTGATGATTATGTAGTTCATATATCCTGTTCATATATTGAACAGATTGCCTGCTAATATAACAGATGTGTGGGATCACTTGATTGTTTCGAGCGTAGGTTAGACATATATATATGAATGAGTTTGGGTGGATATATAAATAGTATAGCTGCCTCGCGTTAGCCAATATGTCTTTTAGAGAGATTCCATCCATCTTATGTTTCTATTTGCACTTCATTCATGACATCTTACGAGGTCTCGTAGCCAGCACATGACATCTTACGAGCTCTCGTAGCCAGCTCATGACTTCTTACGAGCTCTCATAGCAGCACATGACATTTTACGAGCTCTCGTAGCCAGCTCATGACTTCTTACGAGCTCTCGTAGGCACCACATGACATCTTACGAACTCTCGTCGCCAGCAAATGACATCTTACGAACTCTCGTAGCCAGCGCATGACATCTTACGAGCTCTCGTAACCAGCTCGTCCATTCAAGAACCCCCTCCCCACTACTTAAGATTTCTCAAAGGAGGTCGTAACTCGTGAGTGGAAGATTAAGAGCGAAGGTTTGTCTTGGGCTGAATAGCGCGCGAACACCATCTTCCCCCCCCCCCTCCCCCCCTCCCCCCCCCTCCCTTAAACCCATTCCCGGCAGACCTGCCCATTCCCAGCACGCCGACCCTTACTTCCCCTAGGAGTAAAGAATCAGAAAAAGGAAAGGGAAGGGTGCTATCAGGAGGAAGCACCAAGTCATAATGACTAGGAAGGGGTCAGGATAAGGATTAGGGACGGGGGGGGGGGAGGGGAGGAATGATGACCAACCACTTGTGGACGGTCGGGGATTGAACGCCGACCTGCATGAAGCCAGACCGTCGTTCTACCGTCCATCCCTAAGTGGGGGAGGGGGAGGAAAGAAAACAGAGAAATAAACGAAGAGAAAGAGATGAGGAAAGATGAGACAGAGGAGAGATAATGAGGAAGGTGAGACGGTGAAGATGAGCTGAGCTGTATAACAGAGAGAGGCCGCAGAGATAGTAGTCACTTTGACAGGAATTCCACCATTAAATTTCTGTGTTGGTGCTAGTGTGTGTGTGTGCTGCCCGTCCTCCAGCCCGTCCTCCAAACGAAGACCCAAAATTCCATTCCATGCACCCGCCAAACCCCCCCAGCTGTTTATGAATGGAAAACGGTTTACACACGACTCACAACTGATGACGTTCGAACACTTCCGGAACAAGTGCTTCACTGACGAATTTTATTCGGACCCCAACGCTGTAAATGCTTCACCCACGTACTACAAATACAAATAATCGCCAACAGAACCTAAACACCTGACCTAACCTATGCCTATATATGCACAATATGCTAATATATTATAATATTAATTTATATTTGAGAAAATTCCCGTTTTGAATGAACAGCATGTACAAATTTATGAATGCGTCTGTGGGGTCGACCACTGGATGGAATGGACTTGAGTCGAGGACGGATTGGCGTGTGCGTGTGTCCCAACGACACACCAAACATTCCATATATGTCTTCCGGAAAAATAGACGCGCCTCATGACAACTCCTTACATTGTAACTTACAAATTCCTGAGACGACCAAAAAGAAAATGTAAATTACATTCCGATTCCAAGTTTATTTTTATATACAAAAAGAATACAACAACCGCTGGCACGAAAAAAAAAATCATAAATCTCATTCACAATTTTTGTGAGAAATGTTACGAGCAGTAGTAAACAATATCGCAAGTCGTATTCAGAGCCGCCTAGAAACATCGTAACTCGTACTGAGAATCCTTGGTGACTTACCTTCCGAAAGTGCGGTATAGGAGGCCCTTGGGCGGTCAGCTGAGGGAACTCATGTCCTACTCCATGTCCCACTCCATGTCCCACCCCATGTCTAGGACATGTCCTAACCCCCCCCCCCAACTCATGTCCAGGTGGAGGCCTTATTGATCCCCCTGAGAGCCCCGGAGGTCAGTAAAGTTACCCAGGTGTAACAAGGTGGTATAATTAGGTGGCTGGGACGAGTCTGGCCCACCTGCTGGAGGGTGAAGGTGGTTGTTACAGGCGCCCAGGTGAGCCTCCCTGAGGGGGGCAAGGGAGGAGGGAGGTTTACTGAGAAAGAGGAAGACTTGGACACAATATCTTGGAGGCAACACTGAGAGAGAGGGAGGAAGAAGGGAAATAATTGAAATGAGAGAGAAGCAATTAAGTGAGAAAAGAATGTAAGTGCAGGTGAGGGGTTGAGAAAGAAGGGAGATGAGGGAAGAGGTGTGTGTGTGTGTGCATGTGTGTGTGTGTGAGCAGGTAATCCTGGTTGTATCTCCTGAGGGGTAGTAGCGAGCTTTATTGGGTGAAAGTGAGGGGAGTGTGTGAGAGAGGGGAAGGAAGGGGAAGTGAGGCGGAAGGGGATACTGACACGCTTACAGAAAAGTTGGTGAGGAATGGCATCCCCCCTCCCCCCCTCCTCCCCCCCCACCACCTGAGAGAACGCAAGGGGGTTGAGGCAGTCCAAAGCGGGAGCTCTGCCCCCCCCCCCACACACACACAGAGGAGAAGGGGGGGAGGGGAAGTGAGGGAAGGGGGAGGGGACAAAGGAGTGAGAGAAGGGATTGGCACACTTCCTGGGAGGGGAAGAGGAAGGGGGGGTGGAATAGGATGCGGATCTCTCACAAAAGGAGGGATGTAAGGGGGAGGGGAGGGACTATGCATTGTTGGTAGCGAGGGAGAGGAGGGGGGGGGTTGAATGGGGGGATGGGGTGGGATATTGGCACTCTCCTGGGCGATAAATGGGGTAGGGGGGTAGGGGGGAGGGGGTGGCACACTGACGGCATTGTCTCTTCCCAGATGACAGGACATTGCTCAGGACACATGGTGGAGGCTCAGGACACATGGTGGAGGCTCAGGACACATAGTGGAGGCTCGGGACACATTGTGGAGGCTCAGGACACATGGTGGGGGCTCAGGACACATGATGGAGGCTCAGGACACACGGTGGAGGCTCAGGACACATGGTGGAGGCTCGGGACACATGGTGGAGGCTCAGAACACATGGTAGAGGCTCGGGACACACGGTGGAGGCTCAGGACACATGGTGGAGGCTCGGAACACATGGTAGAGGCTCGGGACACATGGTGGAGGCTCGGGACACACGGTGGAGGCTCGGGACACATTGTGGAGGCTCAGGACACATGGTGGAGGCTCAGGACACATGATGGAGGTTCAGGACACACGGTGGAGGCTCAGGACACACGGTGGAGGCTCAGGACACATGGTGGAGGCTCGGGACACATGGTAGAGGCTCGGGACACATGGTGGAGGCTCGGGACACATGGTGGAGGCTCGGGACACATGGTGGAGGCTCGGGACACACGGTGGAGGCTCAAAACGCATGGTGGAGGCTCAGGACACACGGTGGAGGCTCAGGACACATGGTGGAGGCTCGGGACACATGGTGGAGGCTCAGGACACACGGTGGAGGCTCAGGACACATGGTGGAGGCTCGGGACACATGGTGGAGGCTCGGGACACATGGTGGAGGCTCAAGACACATGGTGGAGGCTCAAGACACATGGTGGAGGCTCGGGACACATGGTGGAGGCTCAAGACACATGGTGGAAGGCTCAAGACACATAGTGGAAGGCTCAAGACACATGGTGGAGGCTCAGGACACATGGTGGAGGCTCAGGACACATGGTGAAGGCTCAGGACACATGGTGGAGGCTCAGGACACATGGTGAAGGCTCAGGACACATGGTGGAGGCTCAGGACACATGTTGGAGGCTCAGGACACATGGTGGAGGCTCAGGACACATGGTGGAGGCTCAGGACACATGGTGGAAGGCTCAGGACACATAGTGAAGGCTCAGGACACATGGTGAAGGCTCAGGACACATGGTGGAGGCTCTGGACACATAGTGAAGGCTCAGGACACATGATGAAGGCTCAGGACACATGGTGGAGGCTCAGGACACATGGTGGAGGCTCAAGACACATAGTGGAGGCTCAGGACACATAGTGGAGGCTCAGGACACATAGTGAAGGCTCAGGACACATGGTGAAGGCTCTGGACACATAGTGATAAATTCTAGGCCGTGAACTATAAGATTGAGGACACATTTCATTCCTCAATAAAGTAATCTCATCAACTCAAATGTCTATCGTTGGCGTACACGAAGGGAAAGGGGGGGGGGGGGTACGCCACGTGGCAACTGGTTCCACAAATCATCAACCCTGTTACCGAACCAGTATTTACCCAGGTCTTTCCGAAATCTAAACTTATCCAGTTTATATATATTAGAGAGAGAGAGAGAGAGAGGGGATAACTCTAGGATCGAGAAGTAGACAGTTCTAGGATCTATCCTCGTCCTACTTTCCACACACACACACACACACACACACACACACACACACACACACACACACACACACACACACACACACACACACACACACACACACACACATATATTGTGTTCGTAAATTCGGGAGAGTATGAAAACCCATATTTCTTGTTAACAACATAACTACATATATATTACAACATATATATATTATAACATATTACAGGTATATACGACTGGTAACCAGAAACCAACAAAAAATTGAAATGCAATATTGCATAATATTGAGAAAGGGGAGTTTATACCCAGCAGATTTGTCCTGAATATGATATAAAGTTTTAGGAAATAATTCAGCTTTGATTCGGGAACTATTTCCTGCTTAACAGTTAGCATTAATAGCTTAACAGTTAACGAGTCAGTTGCAATTAAGGCGTTGCAACTGACTCTTGTCCTCATTCCTGGCCTCTCAGTGTAGCTGTTGACGAGCAATTGAGCTGCAAGTCTCGTTTGACCATCTTGCAGGGGAAACTATCCAAACTTTGCAACAAAAATATTAGTAATAACAAAAATAATTGCGAGAAAATCAGTCGGAGCTGTGACAAGGATTCGAACCGATGCTATGAGTACACCCAAGAATATCCAAGAGCATAGGTTCGAATCCTTCTCATGACTCCTATAATTATTGTCTCATTAATATATCACTTTAATGTGATTTCTTTGTGCAATAATAATTGTCATGTTCAACACGGGACTCACCAATCACTCGCACAATATGGGGACTCACCAATCACTCGCACAATATGGGGACTCACCAATCACTCGCACAATATGGGGACTCACCAATCACTCGCACAATATGGGGACTCACCAATCACAACACGGGACTCACCAATCACTCGCACAATATGGGGACTCGCCAATCACTCGCACAGCATAGGACTCATTCGCCATCCTGCCCCAGCTGGTGCCACTAACACTACTCTCCTCCCCACAGCTGGCGCCACTAACACTACTCTCCTCCGCACAGCTGGTGCCACTAACACTACTCTCCTGGCCACAGCTGGTGCCACTAACACTACTCTCCTGGCCACAGCTGGCGCCACTAACACTACTCTCCTCCGCACAGCTGGTGCCACTAACACTACTCTCCTGGCCACAGCTGGTGCCACTAACACTACTCTCCTCCGCACAGCTGGTGCCACTAACACTACTCTCCTCCCCACAGCTGGTGCCACTAACACTACTCCCCTCCCCACAGCTGGTGCCACTAACACTACTCTCCTCCGCACAGCTGGCGCCACTAACACTACTCTCCTCCGCACAGCTGGCGCCACTAACACTACTTTCCTGGCCACAGCTGGTGCCACTAACACTACTCTCCTGGCCACAGATGGCGCCACTAACACTACTCTCCTGACCACAGCTGGTGCCACTAACACTACTCTCCTGGCCACAGCTGGTGCCACTAACACTACTCTCCTGCTCACAGCTGGTGCCACTAACACTACTCTCCTGGCCACAGCTGGCGCCACTAACACTACTCTCCTGGCCACAGCTGGCGCCACTAACACTACTCTCCTGCTCACAGCTGGTGCCACTAACACTACTCTCCTCCCCACAGCTGGCGCCACTAACACTATTCTCCTGGCCACAGCTGGCGCCACTAACACTACTCTCCTGGCCACAGCTGGCGCCACTAACACTACTCTCCTGCTCACAGCTGGTGCCACTAACACTACTCTCCTCCCCACAGCTGGCGCCACTAACACTACTCTCCTGGCCACAGCTGGCGCCACTAACACTGCTCTCCTCCTCACAGTTCTGGGTCTCCTACGTGCCGTGTGAGTCTCAGCGCCTCAACGCCGTTCAACTCACCATAGAACAAATTGACCTGATCAAGCGCCTCATTGACCAGTACCCAGACGACCTCCGCCTCGCCACTTCCGCCGACGGTGAGTCTTGGGGTCACCTGGGGTCAGGGGTCAGCGTTGGTCAGGGGCTCCGAGGAGCAACGTCCTCTCGGCCCAGTCTCTGACCAGGCTTCCTGGTTGGTGGTCTGGTCAGACGAAAAATAATCAAGGTTTCCTTTATTTTCAGATCTCAGTTGGGAATTAAGACATTGTTAAATATATGTTTTGATTTAGCATGACAAGGGGAGAGAGTTTAGCTTTTGTAAGATGTTATCTTGGACTGTAGGTCAGCTGGGGGTCAGAGGTTAACTGAGGTTAAAATTCATTTCAGGTATATCAAACTTGATGAGTCAGACTGGCCAGATAACATGGAACATGGTCCGTAGAATGTGTGTGTGTGTGTGTGTGTGTGTGTGTGTATGTGTGTGTGCGTGTGTGTGTGCGTGTGTGTGTGTGTGTGTGTGTGTGTGTGTGTGTGTGTGTGTGTGTGTGTGTGTGTGTGTGTGTGTGTACTCACCTAGTTGTGCTTACGGGGGTTGAGCTTTAGCTCTTTGGTCCCGCCTCTTAACCGTCTATCAACAGGTGTACAGGTTCCTGAGCCTATTGGGCTCTATCATATCTACACTTGAAACTGTGTATGGAGTCAGCCTCCACCACATCATTTCTTAATGCATTCCAATTGTCGACCACTCTGACACTAATAGAGTGTGTGTGTGTGTGTGTGTGTGTGTGTGTGTGTGTGTGTGTGTGTATGTGTGCAAACAGGCGTACATAATGGAGAATATTATGTATATATATATATATATATATATATATATATATATATATATATATATATATATATATATATATATATATATATATATATATATATATATATATATATATATATATATATATATATTAGTTTGTACATAGATTCCCAGCCTTTGCGACGTAGAAATTGGCCAGTGATCGTAGATCAGACCAGGTTGGCGTCGCTTCTAATATTGCCCTTGGCTTACACGGTAAGTCTGAGGCCCGGTGTCCCTTACCTCACCCTTCAAGAGTTCCTCCATCACGCGCCGCTGTATAAACATACACGAAGAGCCAAATACACAATGTATAACAGTGCCAAATGGTAAAATATTGTAAAAAAAGAGTCCTATTAAATTAATAAAATTGGGCTCGGGCGTCAAGTTGTCTTTAAAAAATTAAGTCAAAATTTAAAATGTTGAGACAGAAACAAATCGAAAATTTAAACCAATTTTAACACTATATTAAATTTTTATACAGGAGCAGAGAAATTGGTTTAGTTTTTTGTTCTTTTTCGCCATAAATTTGAAAAAATACATAAGTATGAATATATTAGGTAAGTTTCAATTGTATATTAAAATATGATGGAACACAGATGTGTCTGAGGCAAGTATGATATTGTCACCAGACTTTAGTGGAGACTAAGGCAGGTGTTTGTTTGCGTCAGAGGTGGAGACTAAGGCAGGTGTTTGCGTCAGAGGTGGAGACTAAGGCAGGTGTTTCCGTCAGAGGTGGAGACTAAGGCAGGTGTTTGCGTCAGAGGTGGAGACTAAAGCAGGTGTTTGCGTCAGAGGTGGAGACTAAAGCAGGTGTTTGCGTCAGAGGTGGAGACTAAGGCAGGTGTTTGTTTGCGTCAGAGGTGGAGACTAAGGCAGGTGTTTGTTTGCGTCAGAGGTGGAGACTTAGGCAGGTGTTTGTTTGCGTCAGAGGTGGAGACTAAGGCAGGTGTTTGTTTGCGTCAGAGGTGGAGACTAAGGCAGGTGTTTGCGTCAGAGGTGGAGACTAAGGCAGGTGTTTGCGTCAGAGGTGGAGACTAAGGCAGGTGTTTATTTGCGTCAGAGGTGGAGACTAAGGCAGGTGTTTGTTTGCGTCAGAGGTGGAGACTAAGGCAGGTGTTTGTTTGCGTCAGAGGTGGAGACTAAGGCAGGTGTTTGTTTGCGTCAGAGGTGGAGACTAAGGCAGGTGTTTGTTTGCGTCAGAGGTGGAGACTAAGGCAGGTGTTTGTTTGCGTCAGAGGTGGAAGCAGCGTTCAAGGAGGGACGCATCGCCAGCCTGATCGGCGTGGAGGGCGGCCACGCCATACAGAACTCCCTCGGCGTCCTGAGGGCCCTGAGGGACCTGGGAGTGCGCTACCTGACCCTCACCCACACCTGCAGCACCCCCTGGTGAGTACCCACACCTGCAGAACCCTTCCCTGGAGAGTACCCACACCTGCAGTACCCCTCCCTGGTGAGTACCCACACCTGCAGCACCCTCCCCTGGTGAGTACCCACACCTGCAGTACCCATCCCTGGTGAGTACCCACACCTGCAGCACCCTCCCCTGGTGAGTACCCACACCTGCAGTACCCCTCCCTGGTGAGTACCCACACCTGCAGCACCCCCTGGTGAGTACCCACACCTGCAGTACCCCTCCCTGGTGAGTACCCACACCTGCAGCACCCCCTGGTGAGTACCCACACCTGCAGCACCCCTCCCTGGTGAGTACCCACACCTGTAGCACCCTCCCCTGGTGAGTACCCACACCTGCAGCACCCCTCCCTGGTGAGTACCCACACCTGCAGCACCCTCCCCTGGTGAGTACCCACACCTGCAGCACCCCCTGGTGAGTACCCACACCTGCAGCACCCTCCCCTGGTGAGTACCAACACCTGCAGCACCCCCTGGTGAGTACCCACACCTGCAGCACCCCCTGGTGAGTACCCACACCTGCGCCACACCATCTAGTGAGTCCCCACACCTGCAGCACCCCCTGGTGAGTCCCCACACCTGCAGCATTCCTAAAATTGGTCTCCACACACATGCCCTGCTAGGCAACACACACCTGAGAAATGCACACTATACCTGCTTGACACTCTAGGCACTCTATCCTCCCTTGCTCCACACACTCACCACACACTCTCACTCTCACTCTCACTCTCCCGCAGGGCCGAGTGTGCGCGTGCGCAAGAGACGGACGCAGAGGACCCAAATTCCCCTCGGGGACTTACCCACTTTGGCAAGGTAAGTTGGGTACAATGTCTTAGTGGTGGTAAGAGGCCAGGTGGCCGGAGTTCGATTCCCGATGGTCCGACTAGTCTGCCCTCATATCCCAGCCCCGTGTTCTCATATTGTCTTATTTCTGCTTCTCACTGTATGCGTCGCATTTTTAACGCACTCGACCAATCCGTTAAGAAAGGTGACGTATTAGTGCAAATTGAATCACCGGAGTACTGACGTTTTCTGTGCATCATCCTCGAGGGGTTAGGTGGGTTGGTTGGGTTTGTACGACTCTGGATAGAGGCAAAATACTGGATCTGTTCGTGTTTTAGGTGAGGCAAAACAATTGTATTTTTTCCGGAATGGCAAATCGAAAGATAGAGGGAATATAGCGAGGACAGGAAAAGTGAAGGGGGAAAGTGAGGGAAGAGGGGAAATGAGAGATAAAATGGGAAGGGGTGGAAATAGAGAGGAAAGGATGTATGGGAAATGTGGAACAGAGAGGATAACAAAACAGAGAAATTCGCGATGAAAATGGACCATTACAAGTTCCAAGATGAGAAAGAGAGAGAGAGAGAGAGAGGAAAGAGAGAGAGAGAGAGAGAGAGAGAGAGAGAGAGAGAGAGAGAGAGAGAGAGAGAGAGAGAGAGAGAGAGAGAGAGAGAGAGAGAGAGAGAGAGAGAGAGAGAGAGAGAGAGAGAAACAGAGTTTTGGGGGAGGTGAGACATATTTTCGAAATAAAAAGTCGTAAATTTGAAAATGAAAATAGGCGAAGAGAGGCAGAATTCGAATAAAAAATAACGCTCAGGAGTAAAATTTCCGACATTCAGATATTTTGAAAACTGTAGGGGGTTTGGGCAAAATATGACTAATCGCCGTTTTCAGTAATTGGCATATTTTCGGTATAAAAATTCGTTATTTGAAAATGAAAATAGGTGCAGAGAGTCAGAATTAAGCTCAAAAATCACGCTCAGGAATCAAATTTCCGACATTTTAGATATTTTGAAAACTGTAAGGGGGTTTGGGCAAAATATGACTAATCGCCGTTTTCAGTAATTGGCATATTTTCGGTATAAAAAGTCGTAATTTGAAAATGAAAATAGGTGCAGAGAGTCAGAATTCAGCTCAAAAATCACGCTCAGGAGTCAAATTTCCGAAATTTCAGATATTTTGAAAAATGCAAAAGGGGTTTGGGCTAAATATGACCCATCGCCGTTTTCAGTAATTGGCATATTTTCGGTATAAAAATTCGTTATTTGAAAATGAAAATAGGTGCAGAGAGTCAGAATTCAGCTCAAAAATCATGCTCAAGAGTCAAATTTCCGAAATTTCAGATATTTTGAAAACTACAGGGGGGTTTGGGCAAAATATGACCCATCGCCATTTTCAGTAATTGGCATATTTTTGGTATAAAAAGTCATAATTTGAAAATGAAAATAGGTGCAGAGAGTCAGAATTCAGCTCAAAAATCAAGCTCAGGAGTCAAATTTTCGAAATTTCAGATATTTTGAAAACTGTAGGGGGGTTTGGGCAAAATATGATTAATCGCCGTTTTCAGTAATTGGCATATTTTCGGTATAAAAAGTCGTAATTTGAAAATGAAAATAGGTGCAGAGAGTCAGAATTCGGCTCAAAAATCACTCTCAGGAGTCAAATTTCCGACATTTCAGATATTTTGAAAACTTCAGGGGGGGGGGATTGTAATATAGTAGTATATTACTACTAGGCCTAGTAAGCAAGAACCGGTTTGCCTAACAACCAGAGCAATCATGTATATTTAAAAAAAAATCGAAAATTGTTCGCTATTTAATTATATTACACAACTGTAACAATACAACAAGAAATACAGACATTTCAGGCTTATTTTATTTTATTTTTTGAAAAAAATAACCATATTTACGTTAAATTTATTTACTAAGTTTAGGTTCAAATATAGACAATGTTAAATAACTGTTCCTTTTTTTATCGAGTTAATATTTTTCAAATTCAAATTGGATTTACAAAAATATGTTTGTGCATTTATAATTGAGTTTGTTTGCATAAATTTACATTAATGATTTAAGAGCAAGTCGTATTTACAGCAAAATTGAGGTAAAATAATGTTGTTTTTAGGAAATTTGTCTTTGTGATGTTACTGTATTGTGGCTGTTGTATGGCTGTTGTATGACCGCACGCCAGATTATACAACAGGGGAGGGACAAGCCGACGGTCATACAACCGGAGCGTGTCATACAAGAGCTGTATTGTGTCCCATTATGAATGCATGTATGCAGATTTGCATATACATATAGAGAGTTGTATATATACAGAGGTTTGTGTGTGTGTGTGTGTGCAAAGACACACGCACACACACTTAAACATACACATCACACGCATACATATGCAACACACGCATACATACACACATACACACACACACACACACACACACACACACACACACACACACACACACACACACACACACACACACACACACACACACACACAGGGAGAAGCAAGGGTGAGACGAAATTCAAACTTGCGTAGACATTTCCTTTGCACCTCTCTCCCACCACCTCTACAACCCCCACCACCACTAAAACCAACCCTCAAACCACAGGAACAACCACAACACCATCAACTAACCCTCTGCTAGCCACCACAACATACTTACTCTAATACCTCCCATTTAAGGTGAATGGGAAAGTAAGATGTTTAATACAGCGTACCCCATTACGGCATTGTGTTCCCTGAGCTGAACGCGGCCTCATCATGAGGCTAAAATACCTCATATTCACGCTGGATATTTACTCATAATCACCGCCTATCCTCTATCTGTGGTGGCTGGGAGGAGGTGAATTCTGGGTGGAGATCGTGGGGTCGTGGGTTCGATGATGGTAAGGATTCCGTTAAGGGGGTTACCGGTATGTACAGTATGGTATGGGATTACATGGTTAGGGTCTGTGGATTAGGAGGGAGGATATAATCCATGGATCAAGTTGCCTCACGGTGCTTGGATTAAATCCGTTTCATGTAACATCCTCATCCTTTCTTTAATATTGGCGGACAGAAAGTTAAAGAAATATATTTGGCGGTTGTAAAAATACACATATGTCTATTTAGAAATCTACAGAAATGATCTCTTCGTGGAAAAATACATATATACATGCATGTTCAAACTCCTCTGAACAGCACGTAGAGACAACCGTTGATAATACATATTGAAACTCCATGGACCCCTGATCAACCAGGCTGTGACTCATACGTCAGGCTGCGAGCAGCCGCGTCCAACAGCCTGGTTGATCAGTCCGGCAACCAGGAGGCCTGGTCGACGACCGGGCCGCGGGGACGCTAAGCCCCGGAAGCACCTCAAGGTAAGGTAAGGTAACCCCTTACCTAAACATCTTTTTTATTAACGAATGTTCAAAATGGAGTAAATGTTCCTTGAAATAGATCCTTGGATTCGAAAATCCCTTGACGGCACTTCTGGAATACCCCGAGCATCTCATTTTCGCCCGTGGGAGATATTCCATTTGTGCTCTTTATCTGTGGATAACGGAATGGTTTCGATTACGCGTCACTTAATGTCGGTTGGGCGGGGCTGGCAGTGTCAATATTTACAGAGGATGGGAGTGTGGTGGAGGACGGGGGGGGGGAGGGAGCAGGGTTAGGGTGGAATGGTGGTATTTAAGAGAGAAAAAGACAGGGATGGACAGGGAAGAGATGTCAGGATATTGATTTCTTTTGCACCGTAATCACCACCACTACTACCACCACCATCACCATCATCACCGACCATCACCACCACCATCACTATCACCACCACCATCACTACCACCATCACTATCAACACCACTATCACTACCAACACCACCATCACTACCACCATCACCACCACTACCACCACCACTACCATCACCACTACCACCATCACTACCACTACCACCCCCTCTTACCCCCATGTCCCAACACCACCAGAGTTCATGGAATGAATTTACCCAAGAGAGGACAAACTCTGCAAGGAAAAAGTAGCATGATCAGACAAGGAGAAAACTCATGCCTCACATGCCTGAGAATTCTATGACAAAGAAACCAACGTACAACAGCAGAAGGAGTGTTTGGTACACTGAATTCTCCTTCAACTTCTTGAGGTTATCTTGAGATGATTTCGGGGCTTTAGTGTCCCCGCGGCCCGGTCCTCGACCAGGCCTCCACCCCCAGGAAGCAGCCCGTGACAGCTGACTAACACCCAGGTACCTATTTTACTGCTAGGTAACAGGGGCATAGGGTGAAAGAAACTCTGCCCATTGTTTCTCGCCGGCGCCCGGGATCGAACCCGGGACCACAGGATCACAAGTCCAGCGTGCTGCCCGCTCGGCCGACCGGCTCAACTTCAAAAAGTATTTGATACCAATTCTCACCAAATTCTGGTGAGATTGAGTTGGATGGAGAAAAATAACAGCAATGTACAAGGGAATGCCTGACAGGCAGAAAACAAAGGATCACAGACATAGAGTTGGTATCGAGCTGGAGAAATGTCAAATGGGGCGAACACAGGACTCGATCCTAATCCATTGTTTTTCCAAGTTTAAGCGGGGGAAAATAATGAGAATAAAAACCGAAGAGGAATGCAGTGGAGGAGGACCTTGACCGAGACCAGAATTGAGCAGACAAATGGCTGTTAGAGTTAAACTCCATAAGTGTAAATCACTGAAGATGATACAGTGAAATAGCAACTAATGGAATAATCACTGTGAGGGACAGGCAAGTGTTGGAAATGGAAAGAGAAAAAGGCTTTGTTGTGGATATTAACTGTTGATAAAAATGACATTTCAAGGTGATTGTGGGATTTTATATTGCCAACTAGAGTAACGCACTACTAGCGTAGACCAGGACCCATCTATCTGGGGCGGGGGTGATAGACTTAACCAACACTGTATAGGGACTCACTTCTCAAGAGATAAATAGGTAGATAATAGTGACAAGGAGACAAGAGTAAATATGATTATCGAGCGAGAAAATTGAAATGAAGGCAAAAAGAAGAAAAACGTTTTAATACGTTTTTATAAACGTTTTAAAACGTTTTTTTTTAAACGTTTTAAAACGTTTTTATAAACGTTTAAAAAAGTTAAAACGAATTGTTTTCTTTGGCAACACAATGGTGGAAACAAAGGACACAAGGATGAACATAACAACAGCCCTAAAGGTATAGTACACAAATACCAGGAGTATTAACAATTAAATAGGTAAATTAAGTACAATTGTTGACACAAAAACAGTGGACACTATTGCAAAAACAGAAACATGGATGTTCAAAATAGAGACATATTACCAGAATTAAAAAAATAAGAGAAAGTAATTATTTCATACCACCACACATCATCACCACCACCACCACTACCACTACCACACACCACCACCACCAACACCAACACCACCACTACCATCACCACCACCAACACCACCATCACCACCACCACTACCACCACCACCACCACCACCACCACCACCACACATCACCACCACCAACACCACCATCACCACCACCACTACCACCACCACCACAACCACCACCACAAGATCAATACCTCACAAGCACGCCGGTAGTTCCACAGCCAATATTAATAATTTAAGGACGTAATTAAATTAAATTACGGTATCTGGCCACTTCTTATGTCCCTCCTCCTCCAACTCCTCCAACTCCTCCAACTCCTCCAACTCCTCCAACTCCGTTGCATCCCTGTTGCCCCCTGCAACCACAGCTTCCCTTTCACCTAATGCACCTCTTCTAACCCCTGAAATGTGTCTCACTCTCTACCATTAGTTTTATGCAAATCATTCACCCCCCCCCTTATCTTGAGGTTATCTTGAGATGATTTCGGGGCTTAGCGTCCCCGCGGCCCGGTCCTCGACCTGGCCTCCTTTTTGTTACACATCCCCCAGGAAGTAGCCCATAGCAGCTGTCTAACTCCCAGGTATCTATTTACTGCTAGGTGAACAGAGATATTAGGTTAAAGAAACTCTGCCTAATTGTTTCTGCCTTCGCCGGGATCAAACCCGGAACCTTAGGACTACGAATCCCGAGCGCTGTCCACTTGGCCATCAGGCTGACTGGACACCGAATTTCCCCTGCACATTTCCCCCGCCCCAGACACCCCCCCCCCCCCCACCTTCCCAAACACTCGCCACCATAAGGAACGGAACTATTAGGGGAAAGCGCCAAGCCATTATGACTATATAGCACTGAGAAGAGGTCAGGATAAGGATTTGGGATGGGACGCGGGGAAACGAATGCTGCCCAACCACTTGGATGATCGGGAACTGAACGCCGACCTGCATGAAGTGAGACCGTCGCTCTACCGTTCAGCCCAAGTGATACCATCATAAGGAGAGGGCAACTCACCCATCAGATATTGAAAGAGATGTAATTCCAACACTATAAGAGGCACACACAAACACACTAACATCACCGGCATATGAGAGGCTAACAGCAGACATCTGAAAGCCATATAGAATCCAGCAAAATAATTATTTCAAGACCCTACAGAGTCTATGGGAGGGAAAATCTATTAGAGAGAATGTTTGTCTGTTTGTTCGAGGTTGCAAACGGTACGTTGCTGTTTGCCATACGTAACTTTCAATGGTGAAGTGTGATAGAATTTTTGGTGACGACCCTAATAGTAGGGGTTGGGTTCTTTGGGTCAGGTTGGTTCCTATTACGATAACCAATGACTCCTATGACGTCTCGTGGACAATGACTCCTATAAGAAGCTGTAAAAGCCACCTCCACCCATTCTTTAAAGCCAGATTCAACCAAGACTTCCAATTAAGTCCTCTCTCCCCCCCCCACTTACTCCACACTATCCCCACCCCGTCCACCCCTCACAGTCCCCTACCCCTCCAAACCACCACCACAACCCCCCCTTCCCCCCTCCTCCCTAACACCACCACCACAACCCCCCTTTCCCCCCTCCTCCCTAACACCACCACCACCACCTTCCCTTCTCAGGACATCATCACTTACTGGTGCCTTATCTGGGTGCTTTTGTTCCTGGTAATGGTCCCCCGCCACACGTTGGAAGGGGTGGAAGGGGGATGGGAGGGAGGGTTAGCGGAGTTTGGAAACGGAGAGTGAGTGGAACGGAGAAATGAAGGAAGCAAAAGAGAGAAAGAGAGAGGGAGAGACAGACAGACAGAGGCACTAAAGCATGCAGGAGAGACGAAAAACTTTGGAAAACTCTGTAAAACACCCTCCCAGCTACTTGGCTTTCAAACGCGCACCTGGTGTCAGCAAGGCGGACAGCCCGTCTTCACCCAACACTCCCCAACCACCTCCAATGTTCTTTCACACACCTCTCATTCACCTGCTCCCACGAAGCCCTTCAAAATACAAAGACTGGTCAACAGGTCTTAGTGGGTCCGGGTCTTAGTCCACCAGTGTCCAACGGCACCTCCAACCTGTTCTGTCCAGTCCAGAAGTGATGAGGCTCGTCTGGGAGTATTGTCCAGTGTCCCCTGGAATGAGTACCTACAGCTCCCGCCCCCACCTCATCCCTTATATTTAGCCTCACCCCTACTCACTCCCTCATACTCCCCACCACACACACTTACCCTCACTACACCTACCTCATACTTAACCCTCACTGCAACGCGCTCAACAATAAGCCTCGAACAAGAGCCGCAATATGTGACCGCCAAACAGATGTTCCCTCTGCACGAACGCACCAACCTCGCCGCTCGCTGCATTAACAAAAAAAATACACAATTATTAAACATGTTTTGGCAAAAGTTTGGTACACAAAAGAGCCACGACACAAATATCTTGTCCGTGATTTCCTCCAAAAAAAGTGTTCAACAAGTTACAAGTACAGCCAAACATACGTGAAAAGTACAGTGATGTGTACAAATAATAATAATTGATAATAATAATAATGATGCACAGAGAAATGAACTTTTTTGTGCCTTCTTAGAGAAGCATTCGGGTAGATTCGGGTAGATACTCCAGCCAGAGTGTACGAAAAAAATGTGCATAAACCCCTAATTTAGGATCAGAAGATGGCTCATTAACCTTAGAGGATTCAGCTGAACCCCCAACTTAAAATGACCCTTGCTCCTCCCCCCATATAATATCCTATAGTTGTGTACTTAGGGAGCGAGGCAATGAGGAGGATACGAACCAGCACACTGAGCAGTCCCAAGCACACGCACTAAGCCACTAGGCCATGATATGCAAGCCTTCCTAAGACACCTGATCCTAAATCAGCTGTTTCACACATTGCTCGCCTGTACCCTGGCTGGGGTACAGGAGCTACAGCCTCCCAACCTCCCACGCTTTTCCTCGAATACAGAAAGAATACACATTAATGTGATGTATCATTTTCTCACTGATTCATCACGTTATGTATCAGTGACGAAAATGATACATTACGTTATGTATCAGTGACGAAAATGATACATTACGTTATGTATCAGTGACGAAAATGATACATTACGTTATGTATCAGTGACGAAAATGATACATTACGTTATGTATCAGTGACGAAAATGATACATTACGTTATGTATCAGTGACGAAATATTACAAATAATAATATAATGTATTACAAGAAGCAGAATTATAACAAAATAAACATTCTGTAATTGTATAATTGATAATAGCATTAATGATTATAATTATTATTATTATTAGCGTAATAAATATTAATACTGTTGTTATTAGTATTATTATATAACTTTCAAATATATTACATTTAATACTAGAGGTCGCCGCCGTAGTAATTAGAGTGCCTGCGGGATGCCTTGGTGCCAGCAGCTGCATTAACCTGACAGCAGGGAGAGAGGGGAGAGGATGTGAGGGGAGGGGAGGAGAGAGAGAGAGAGAGAGAGAGAGAGAGAGAGAGAGAGAGAGAGAGAAGAGGATGTGAGGGGAAGGGAAAGGAATAGAAAAGTGAAAATTCTTGAGGGGAAAAATATAAAATGAGAATTTCAAAACGAGAAAAAGAGAGTGACCGTGAGAGAGAGAGAGAGAGAGAGAGAGAGAGAGAGAGAGAGAGAGAGAGAGAGAGAGAGAGAGAGAGAGAGAGAGAGAGAGAGAGAGAGAGACGGTTGTGGATATAGGAGAGGTGAAAGAGAATGGCAAGGGGGGAAAAAGACAGATAGGTGTTTTTTTCTCATTCTCCCTGTTATTGATCGCTTTCCCCTCTCCCCCAGAGGGGTGATTGCGGGAGTGAAACAGTGATTGGAGCAAGCACGAGGGATCAACAGGAGAGCTCCGCCACGCTGAGGGGGAAATTGGTTAGGTGAGGGAAGCCTCAGGTGGTGAGAGGGGACACGGAAGGGGTGAGAGGGGGGGGACACGGAAGGGGTTAGAGGGGGGGACACGGAAGGGGTGAGAGGGGGGACACGGAAGTGAGAAGATGCTTACACCTCTCCCAGGCCACCTAACTTGACGACCATACAAGCACCTACAGTCATTATTCTCGCACACTGCTGAAGAGGGTCCCGGTTTGGGACCGAAATATTCAGTCTTGTGTTTTCAAAATAGTGTTTTTTGGGTTTTCAAAAAACCCCTTTAGCTGCCTCTGTACCCATCACCTCTCCCTTCACTCTCTCTCTCTCTCTCTCTCTCTCTCTCTCTCTCTCTCTCTCTCTCTCTCTCTCTCTCTCTCTCTCTCTCTCTCTCTCTCTCTCTCTCTCTCTCCCTCTCTCTCCCCTAGACAGGGGTGAGGGAGATGAGGAACCTACTAGACACCCCATCTCTCACTTTTCTCCCCTCTCTCTCCAACAGACGGTGGTGAGGGAGATGAACCGGTTGGGGCTGCTGGTGGACCTGTCCCACGTCTCACAAGCCACCATGAAGGAGGCGCTGGAGGTGTCCAGAGCGCCTGTCATCTTCAGTCACTCCTCCGTCTACGCCATCTGCAAGAACCCCAGAAACGTCCCGGACGACATCCTGAGGAAGGTGGTGAGTGTTGGGAGAGTGAGGGAGAGTGAGGGAGAGTGAGGGAGAGGGAGAGGGAGTTGGTGAGAGTGAAGGAGATTGAGGGGACGTTGGGAAGAGTGAGATAGAGTGAGGGGAAGTTGGGGAGAGTGAGGGAGAGTTGGGGAGAGTGAGGGAAAGTGAGGGAGAATGAGGGGAAAGCTGGTGAGAGTGAGGGGAAAAAAGGCAGGCAACATAGTTTGCCTCTAACAACCTCACTTTTTAGTGCATGCCATTTTGTTTGATTCTGCCAGAGACCCTTCCCCCCCCCCCCCACATTCCATCCCATCCTCCTCGATTGAGCAACATGCTCTGGATCTGTTACGACGACCTCCTGGATTCTCCATTTGAGTTCCTCACACACTTCACTGTCATTCTCTGTGAATGAATTCCTTCACGCCAAACAGATTCAGCATGAGTCTTCACTGTCCTCTTCCTCAAGACTGACGTGTTTGAAGCAACAACATTGTTTCAATGTTTGAAGCAACAACATTGTTTCAATGTTTGAAGCAACAGTGCCCTGGGTCTTTGCTTCATTTTTAATGGTCGATTTAAAATTGCCTTCCTGTTTCCCTGCTTACTTCTAAAATACACATTCTTGTCTCTCTGGCATCTCCTTATCTTCTCTCTATTGTTCTTTTGTGCTTCTTTTCGCTCGCACTCTCACGTATTCGCTGTGCTTCTATATACACACCTTGGGAGGGAAATCATAGGTTAGTTCTATGTCTCTCCCTGTCCTGGTCTGGAACAAATTACTCCTAGACTTTCTTCTGAGAAAACTCGTTAATTTCATGTGAGGGGTTTCTCTCTCAGCTCAATTTCCTATGGTATACTTTGACAGAATGGGGGTGAGTTGTGGGAGAGGAGAGAGAGAGAGAGAGAGAGAGAGAGAGAGAGAGAGAGAGAGAGAGAGAGAGAGAGAGAGGTGGTGCATACCAAATTAAATCATTGCATAGATCAAACCGTTGCGCTCAGCATATCTTTTTATCATGGAAATTGGCCCCCCTCAAAAAATTCCACTGATTCCTCACACTCGTAATTGGCAAAAATGCTGTGATGTAATTGATGGTTAATGCCTCTAGTGTTGAACACTGCCTCTAGTGGTCCAGGATGGGACAATGTTGTAAGTGTTGAACACTCTTCCTTTCCTCTGTCCCTCCACTTTCCTTCTCTCCCTATCCCAATCCTCTATACCTATCCTTGTATCCCTTCCATGTGCTATATAGTCATACAAGCCGAGGGCTTTCAAGTTATTTCCCTTCCTTTCACTGTTGTGGATTGGTGACTAAATCTCACTAGCATTGCCACTGTGTTTTGTTATATAATTATATACACCAACAATTATCTTAGTCCCTTTTATATCAAGTTGCAGACGAGATAGGCAATTTTATCCTGTAATGCGAGGTTGAGGGTTCGATTCCCCCCTTGAAAGAGAGAATATTTATATGATGCCTTCGTACATGGCTGATTATTCTCTTTTCTTATCAGAATCCTATCAGAATTCTATCAGAATCTTTGCGATAGGTGTTGGAAGGGCAGATAAGTCTGTTTGGTGACAGTGTTGGGACTCCTGTCACAAAACCGTCCCGACATCCTCTGTCTACGAGAGACATAAACATATGTCTCTCGTAGACATATGTTTGTTACGTCATATATATAGACATATGTTTGTAGACATATGTTTGTGTTATGTCTCACATAAACATATGTCTATACACCACGCGGTGTGTATACTCTAAGAGTTTACTTTCGTCCTGATATATATACAGGATTAAATTATACCTACTGTTTAAGCTATAACTGTCCAAAGCTAAGTCTCTGTCCACTTATAACCATTCGAACCGAAACCCCTGTCCATCTGTAACTGTCCAAACCAAAACACCCCCCCTGTCCATCTACATAACTGTCCAAGGACAAACCACTACCCAGACCCCCATGCAGCCTCCCTGGCTACCAGGTGACCCGTCCAATCTGTCTAATCTGTCCGTGGTTATTGACAGGCGAGCAACGGTGGAGTGGTGATGGTGAGCTTCTACAACTACTTCCTCACCTGCAGCAAGGAGGCCACCATTAGTGACGTGATTGGTGAGTTACTACGAGGGGTGAGAGGTGAGGAGAGAGAGAGAGAGAGAGAGAGAGAGTCAGATAGCAGGTCCCTGAGACTATACAAAGGTAATTAATCGACCACCCAATAACAATCTATCTTTGGTGTACACCACTACTCTAACGCCTCTACTCCCACCCCCACACACCTCTCCAACACCGTGTATCATCTCTGTGTCCCCAGAACACATCAACCACGTGAGGAAGGTGGCGGGCATCGACCACGTGGGCATCGGGGCAGACTTTGACGGTATCAACATGTAAGTATTTTTCTCCCCACGTTCAAGTTGACTGTGGCACTGCTGTGTGACGTTTACTGTGTCTGTACCACTGCTGTGTGCCGATTGCTGTGTCTGTACCAATGCTGTGTGACGTTTGCTGTGTCTGTACCACTGCTGTGTGACGTTTGCTCTGTCTGTACCAATGCTGTGTGACGTTTGCTGTGTCTGTACCAATGCTGTGTGACGTTTGCCGTGTCTGTACCACTGCTGTGTGACGATTGTTGTGTCTGTACCACTGCTGTGTGACATTTGCTGTGTCTGTACCACTGCTGTGTGACGTTTGCTCTGTCTGTACCAATGCTGTGTGACGTTTGTTGTGTCTGCACCACTGCTGTGTGACGTTTGCTGTGTCTGTACCACTGCTGTGTGACGTTTGCTGTGTCTGTACCACTGCTGTGTGACGTTTGCTGTGTCTGTACCAATGCTGTGTGACGTTTGCTGTGTCTGTACCACTGCTGTGTGACGTTTGCTGTGTCTGTACCACTGATGTGTGACGTTTGCTGTGTCTGTACCACTGCTGTGTGACGTTTGTTGTGTCTGCACCACTGCTGTGTGACGTTTGCTGTGTCTGTACCACTGCTGTGTGACGTTTGCTGTGTCTGTACCACTGCTGTGTGACGTTTGCTGTGTTTGTACCAATGCTGTGTGACGTTTGCTGTGTCTGTACCACTGCTGTGTGACGTTTGCTGTGTCTATACCACTGCTGTGTGACGTTTGCTGTGTCTTTACCAATGCTGTGTGACGCATGCTGTACTTTCATTAATGCTGTGTAGTGCTGCGGGCACCCTGCTTGTCCGGCGTTAACAGGAGTGTCTGGAATAATCACTATGGGATACCTGAAGATACTGGATATGTATTTTCCCTAATATAATCTCGGAAAGAAATGTCACAATGCTCTAAATCTCATGACAAAAATTAGAATTTATTCTGTAAATATATATATATATATATATATATATATATATATATATATATATATATATATATATATATATATATATATATATATATATATATATATATATATATATATATCCTGAGGCTTCGAATTCAAAATTCTTGTAATACCTACGATAGCTTCGACCAGGAAGTGGTTGGATACCTTTTCTGTCTCCCCGTCCCATCCCAAATCCTCATCCTGACCCCCCCTCCTATCCTTCCAAGTGCTATATAGTGGTAATGTCTTGGCGCTTTCCCCCCCTTCCCTTCGACCAGGATGTCTCACCTCCTCCCCAGCTCCCTCCAGTCTCGTACACTGACTTGACTTCATAAACATTGTGTCTCATCCACTGGGGATTCCAAAGATCGTTACCGGAGTCCAATCCATTTAGACACCCGTGTTCCCCTCTCAGGAAACCAAGGGGAGCTAAACGATATCCAGGGATTGCTATCTGCCACTAACTACTGCTATGTCTCTATAGGCTACCGGAAGGACTGGGGGACGTATCGGGATATCCAAGACTGTTTGCGGAGTTGCTGGCTGACCCCAACTGGACTCTGCAGGACTTGAAGAAGCTGGCGGGTCATAATCTGCTGAGAGTGATGAGAGAAGCGGAGAAGGTGAGTGTGGGTCTGTCTGTCTGTCTGTCTGTCTCTCTCTCTCTCTCTCTCTCTCTCTCTCTCTCTCTCTCTCTCTCTCTCTCTCTCTCTCTCTCTCTCTCTCTCTCTCTCTCTCTCTCTCTCTCATCCTTATAAGTCGCCAACTAAACGTTCAGCGTATTAATATGAACAGACATTTGCACTTTTCATTCAGTAAATTTCAGATTATATGGAGATTCCATTCAGGTACTCTGGTTACGGATCTTTCTCTCATTCATCATTTGCTAAGTCGATTCTGTCGTCGGAAAAGAGAAAAAGAGTGCTCCGCACTCTCACCAATATGGTGAGAGGACGGAAAACTCTTTTTTTCTCTCATTCTACAACATGTCGATGTTAGGACATAATATGTCGACATGTTAGGAGTCGGTGCCTAGCGACGAAGTTGATGTCCTAAAGATGACCTTCTGACTCCACAGTGATCATGAATAGTCATGCACTCAGCCTAGCAAATGAGGTATCCAAGAAACCTCCGTCATTAAGAACCAAACTCATAACTGCCCGACAGCAGCGACTGCAAAACTTGTCACCTGAAGATGACTTTTGCTCACACCTTGTCCGTACATCTCTCTCTCTTTTTTTTAGATGTGTTAAGCCCCTTATTCTCACAACTTTCATAAGACACATTGACTTGAGAACTCCAGTGAAGCCTCGAAGAACCTTATAAACGACCTGTCCTTGTGCTTGACTCAAGAAAGTGACAAGAAAGATGAGCAGAGACATATACAAACACGCCAAATGATGGGAAAGAATGACAGAGGAAGACACATACGAATGAACCAGGCAAAAAATAGACAGACAGGAACACACACACACACCAAGTGGCAGGAAAGGCAGACACACAGCAAGTGCCACAACAGACAGAAACCGACACATACACAGACGAAGTGACAGCAAAAAAAGAGATAGAGGTAGACCAACTCACACCTGCAAAAGAGGCGGGAAAAGGAAGACTCCTGCTGTTGTTGAACGCAGGGAAAAGTTGTCAGCTCTCCTGCCTCTTGTGAGAGTAGTGACGAACGGGAAAAGTTTGAAAAAAAAGCCAGGGAGATCCTTGAGGGAATCCTTGAACACATATCTTGTGGGAAAGTAGAGCAGCAGCAGCAGCGAGGCTGTTTCCAAGGCTGTTGTGGAGATCCAAATATCTTTGGGTTCTGGGACAAGTTTCTGACGAGTGTTCTGAGTAAATTGACCATACGAGGTGCCTAAAATTGCCCGTTGGTGTGTGTGTATGTGTGTCTGTGTGTGTGTGTGTGTGTGTGTGTGTGTGTGTGCGTGTGTGTGTGTGTGTGTGTGTGTGTGTGTGTGTGTGTGTGTGTGCATCACAAGCACAATAACGGCTGTTGCTTGAGTGTCACGTCTTGGTAAGGTAACGGCGGAGTTGTCGCATCCGGTCCATAGATGTCGCTACTGAATGGGCTTTTCAGCTTCCCTTCCTCTTATTTCTAGCTAACAAGCTAACTTCCTTCCTTCCTTCCTTCCTTCCTTCCTTCCTTCCTTCCTTCCTTCCTTCCTTCCTTCCTTCCTTCCTTCCTTCCTTCCTTCCTCTACCTTCGCCTTATCGTCCCGACAGCGGCGCTTGCCATTGTGAAATTCGCATTTAAAAGCCTTTACCTCTGCCATTGGAGGAGAGTTAGAGGCTGCAATACCCAGAGGTCGTCTCATTCATGCGGCTGGTTTAGAGTCACATGTTATCGGTCTCTTACGGCAGTTAGTGTGGACGGGATGATAAGGTGGATAAGCGCAGAGATGCACTCTCGGGGTGCCTTGGAGGGGTCTAGGGAGTCGTGGAAAGGGGGGTTATGGGAGGGCGAAAGGGGGAAGGGATCCTGAGAAGGGAATCCTGGGATGGGGAGAAGCGAATCCCACAAAGGCGAAGGTCACTCCTAGAAGACGACGAGGGGGCGAGTCATCCAAGGAGCAGTAGATGGGGGTGAGAGTAGTGGTTGATACACATCTATTGTCTGTGTTTATATGTGTGGTCTGATCTATTTTGTTCATGCAGGATCGAGTTTGAGCTCTCGGGTCCCACCTTTAGAGATGCCGGTCGATATATATATATATATATATATATATATATATATATATATATATATATATATATATATATATATACATATATATATATATATATATATATATATATATATATATATATATATATATATATATATATATATATATATATATATATATATATATATATATATATATATATATATTTATTTATATATATATATATATATAGGGTCATATATGTCCTATGACCTTCCTTGGGACAGAGATAAAACCCTCCCTCCGTTCCTCTCCACGGCTATATACGGTCATCTTACTTCCCTTAGACTCGTTCCCATTTCTGTCTACCTCTCTGTCTATCTCTGCCTGTCTATCTCTGCCTGTCTATCTGTCACTCTCTCTCGGAACTCATTAGCGGGACTGTATGTAAAGGCTCGGCTTGACGTCTGAATAATTCTCCACTGAAAAGGGGGAATATGAAGAGATAACTGAAGCAGCCAAGTGAGGTACCACCCAGGTGAGGCACCACCCAGGTGAGGCACCAGCCAGGTGAGGCATCAGCCAGGTGAGGCATCAGCCAGGTGAGGCATCAGCCAAGTGAGGCACCAGCCAGGTGAGGCATCAGCCAAGAGAAGCACAGTTAAGTGTACCATTAAGATAAAGACGCCATCTTGAGAGACCCAATTAAGACGAGGACGCCATCTTGAGAGACCCAATTAAGACGCAGACGCCATCTTGAGAGACCCAATTAAGACGCAGGCGCCATCTTGAGAAACCCAATTAAGACGCAGACGCCATCTTGAGAGACCCAATTAAGACGAAGTCGCCATCTTGAGAGACCCAATTAAGACGCAGACGCCATCTTGAGAAACCCAATTAAGACGAAGTCGCCATCTTGAGAGACCCAGATAAGACGCAGACGCCATCTTGAGAGGCGCGGGGAGTCTAGATTGAGCGTAAATGAAGTTATAACAGGATTTGAGCCTGGCCTCGGGGGCCCAGGTGGCCGAGAAATGGCCCTCCTAACTCTCCAACATTGCCTCGGGGTCCTGTAGAGTTCCTGCAGGTCCTTGATGACCTCCTCGGCAGGGTTGATGTCAGACTTGTGAGGCGCTGAAGTCCTCATCTTCCAAGGAAGGTCCTGTGATGTCACTGTGTTGTGGTGCACCATTGTGACATCACCTGACCCTTCCTTTACCCTTTAATTGATGATGATTTTTTGATAACCTCTGAAATTTTTTCTAATACTTTTTAGCTAATTTTTGTTAAGCAATTGTATTCTATTTTTCTCTAATACTACTGTATATATATGTGTGTGTGTGTATATTATATATATATATATATATATATATATATATATATATATATATATATATATATATATATATATATATATATATATATATATATATATATATATATGTTCAAATTTTATTTTTATAAATGATTTACAATGAACATCATGCCCTATCACCTGTTGTGCCAACAGGTGCGGCTTGAGCTGAAGGAGCAGAAGATAAGGCCCTACGAGGAAGAAGCTCCAAGAGCCCCTGGCGACGACACCTGTTTCTACCGCTTCACCAGACACCCTGACCACGCCGAGTGATAGTAGGGAAAGTGGCCCTTGAGAGAAATGGCCCTTCCGCCTAACCAGGCACCAACCCCCCTGACCACGTGAAATATGGCTCAGATCAATGGCTTCCTTGTGATTCCGGAGCTGGCGGCATTGGTCATTTAATCCCATATGTGTGTGGCTAATGATCTGGGATGGTCTTTGAAAGAATATTTTACAGATTATGACTCGAGAGTTTACTGCTCGTGACACTTGACCTGTGGGTAGCTAACCTTACATTCTGTCCTCTTAGTGCCCTGTTGACATACTAAGAGAGAGAGAGGGAGAGAGAGGGAGAGAGAGAGAGAGAGAGAGAGAGAGAGAGAGAGAGAGAGAGAGAGAGAGAGAGAGAGAGAGAGAGAGAGAGAGAGAGAGAGAGAACAAAGCCAGTAAGGCAAAGAACACAGCTACTGTTCTAGAGAACATTGTGAGACAGAGAACAGAGCTAGTGAGGGCTCTTTCACTGCTGTAAATATATGTAAATATATATAAACTAATTTACAATTTGAAACCCATTTATTTTTAAGAACTGGATACACAAAGTCTTTGTGGATCCTGGCGATGAAAAATATCAGTGTAGATTAGCTCTAGTAATGTAAATAAATGCATATATATAAACACAAAACACACACACACAATGTAGTAAATATTTTACAGTAAGCGCAGTTGTAAAACTTGTTTTACATGACACTCACAAAACCAGTTGAGAATAAAACATGTAGCAGAGATTTAGGCAACAAAGCAAAACAAAAAAACACCACCAAACAGAGCCTTCCTGACATCAATGTTAGCTCGATGTTTGGAAGTCACTTGGCATTATCTTCCCATCCGGTTTAACCAGTATCTGCGACGCCTGACACAGTACCTCTACCACTGTTTAGACAGTATCTGCGACTGTTTAGACAGTATCTGCGACTGTTTAGACAGTATCTGCGACTGTTTAGACAGTATCTGCGACTGTTTAGAGAGTATCTGCGACTGTTTAGACAGTATCTGCGACTGTTTAGACAGTATCTGCGACTGTTTAGACAGTATCTGCGAATGTTTAGACAGTATCTGCGACTGTTTAGACAGTATCTGCGACTGTTTAGACAGTATCTGCGACTGTTTAGACAGTATCTGCGACTGTTTAGACAGCATCTGCGAATGTTTAGACAGTATCTGCGACTGTTTAGACAGTATCTGCGACTGTTTAGACAGTATCTGCGACTGTTTAGACAGTATCTGCGAATGTTTAGACAGTATCTGCGAATGTTTAGACAGTATCTGCGAATGTTTAGACAGTATCTGCGACTGTTTAGACAGCATCTGCGAATGTTTAGACAGTATCTGCGACTGTTTAGACAGTATCTGCGACTGTTTAGACAGTATCTGCGACTGTTTAGACAGTATCTGCGAATGTTTAGACAGTATCTGCGAATGTTTAGACAGTATCTGCGAATGTTTAGACAGTACGAATATTTAGACACATACTGAGAACGCTACACACACACACAGTATGTGGGGAAAAAACATTAAATAATAAAAAAGGGGGGAATGAAAAGCTAAATTATCCCCGTCCCTCATCCCTCCCCCTTCCCTCCATTGGGGAATGGAGGGAAGGGGGAGGGATGAGGGACGGGGATAATTTAGCTTTCCATTCATCCCAAACAAATATACAAAGGCGAACACAATAAAAGGGAGAAACCAAAGCTCGAAATCTCTCCTGCTAAAAAAAAAGGTATTTAAAGGTTTAAAAACTTACAATTTACAACAGCTCACAACTTAAAAATAAAAAGGTTTTTAAGTTACGAACGTCCATGGACAACGAGGCGTTCACAGAATGGGACAAAAATCTGTACTTTCATTATCTTTGGTGAACAGATAATGTATCAAACATATGTTTTAGGAAATAAACACACTTTTTTAATATTAATTTTGTCTTTCATTTTAACCCTCTGATGTATTTCACGGGGGGAAAAAAAGTAATATACGAAGCAAACACTCGAAAAACTCTAGAAAACTACAATCAAATCAATAGAAGACTTTTCGAAATCTAAAAGAAACAATTAACTTGAAATTACTTAAGAATTACTAGCAGCCACTATATAAATACTAGAAACCTACTAAAACTCACAAGAAATCCCCTAAAACTCACTAGAAACCCACTAAAAACCCCATTGAAACATTGAAACTCACTTAAATACCGCTAAAACTCACTAGAAATCCACTAAAACTCATTAATAACTCATTAATAACCCGCTAAAACTCACTAAAACTCAGTAAAACTCACAAGTAACCCACTAACTCTCATTAAACCTCACTAAAACTCACTAGAAACCCCCTAAAAGACACTTGAAGCCCGCTAAAACATACTAGAAGCTCACTAAAACTCACTAGAAACCAATAAAATATGCAGACGATAACTGTTAGAATGTTATGCATTAGTAAGGAGAACTGTGAGGGGGGGGGGGAGAGAAATAATGGTGATAAGAGAAAAATGGTTTGTCTGCATTGTTGACAAGATTAACCCAGCTGCTTATCTGTCTGTCTGTCTAACTTACTGGCTGTCTGTCTGTCTGTCTGTCTAACTGACTGGCTGTCTGTATATATGTCTGACTGTAATTATATATGCCTGTCTTTCTGTCTGGCTGTCTGCTTGTATGTATATATGTCTGTCTACTGGTCTGTCTTCCTGTCACTTTATCGTCCTGTCTATTTGGTCCTGTTTTTTATATATGGTTGTCAATCTGTTTTCTTCTTCATTTCTTTTTTATTGTCTTTGTGTTGTATCCCTGTTAAATCCTGATAAACCACCATCTCCTCACTCCATCCCCCCTTCGTTCCACAACCCCCCATTCCACAACCCCCCCCCCATTCCACAACCCCCCCATTCCACAACCCCCCTCCTTGCACATCAAATCACCAGACGCGGTAAACCTCTCTAACCCGATCCCAGAGCATCAGATGGACCCCAAGTCTGACCCCCAGAGCATCAGATTAATGACAAGTAGCAACAATCTCCCCCTCCCCCCTTCACCAAGCCTTTTCAGACCCCACCATATGACCGCAGTGACCCCCTCCTCTAACCTGACCCCCAGAGGCATTAGCTGACCCCACCTGACCCCCCCCCCCAGCTCACTTCAACTTTCTCCCAAACTTTCACCTCCGAAGCTCACTTTAACCTCTTACTTAACTTGCCAGACTCCAGCCTCATAAAGTATTAAGTGTTAAGTGGAGTTAAGCTAAGTGCTTTGCTGGTGAGAATATGCACTTATTACGAGAGTAGTTTTGAGTGTGTGGTGTACTTCCCCTCTTTTTCTTACGACCTCTTATCCTTCTCCCCCTCTCCCTCCCTCAAGTGGGAACCCCCTATTCCTTCCCCCCTCCCTCTCTCTCTCTCTCTCTCTCTCTCTCTCTCTCTCTCTCTCTCTCTCTCTCTCTCTCTCTCTCTCTCTCTCAAGTAGGAACCCCTCTTCCTTCCCCCCTCCCTCACCATATCTCTCAAGTAGCTTCTCCACCAAAGATTTAAACATAAACACTAATCAACCATAACACATAACTGCAGACAAAGTAATTAAATAATTAATAAAAGTTTACCATTGTGGGGAGAAAATAATTAAATACAATTTCCATATGTAATTCAACCCTGAAAGATATTATTATATAAAATATATAATCAACAAATTATTAAAAATGTTAAAAAAAAGGGAAAAACAGAGGTTTCGGGGAAGAAAAAAGATCAAGAGGTTTCGGGAGGAAAAAAAAAAAAGAGAGCACCTTTTAGGTGGTGTCGAAGGGGGTCCCAACCCTGTCGTAGGTTCGCCAGTCCCTCACCGCCGGACGCTCGAGCCAGAGAGAGAGAGAGAGCTATCAGGCCAAATGGTTTCCCATTTGAAGAGAAGTGGAGCACAGGCCGGCTCTTGAAGGGTCTATCCCGCGGAGTATATCGCCAGCGGGTATATCGTCCGCAGGTATAGCGTCAGTTAGTATATAGTCAGCTGGTATATGGCTATCCACAGGTATAGCGTCTGTTGCTATATTGTCTGCAGTTGGTCTATTGCTTTGCAGGTATATCACCAGTTGATATATCGTTAGCTGCTCTATTGCCAACTGGTATATCAATAGTTGGTATATCACCTGGTAGTAAATTGTCAGCGGAAATATCGCCACCATAGAACAACAATCAAATACACACTATAAAACATAAATAAACAGCACAAACAAAAAACACCACAAACAATAAACACCACAAACAATAACAATGTCCCAAATACCTACGAACATTAATATAACAGTGGACCTTGTACATAGGCGCCCAAAAACAGATACAAATACAATAGGGGCCCCAAACAACAGATACAGATACAATAGGGGCCCCAAACAACAGATACAGATACAATAGGGGCCCAAACAACAGATACAGATACAATAGGGGCCCAAACAACAGATAGAAACCACAGTGTGGGGTGAAAATCCAATGGTGATTGATTATAATGATAGATAACGGATATAATAGCATTATATATAATGCTAGCCATAACGGTAGCAATAATAGAACTAAGATATAATTGTATCAGCTATCATTCTTGAAACTGTTCAAATTGTTGTAAGAAAGGTCACATTGCTAGGTTATCAAGCCAAAAATATATACAAAAATTGGTTAATAAATAGGGAATCATTAATGATGACAGTCTCCGTCGCAAACCATTGGAAATAAGGCATCCTAAAAATTTTTGAATATATGGTGTTTACGCTTTAATTGGCACGAAGCCCCCCCCCCTACTTTTGTAATTGGAAAGTTGCAATGATTATAAATTGGAGACGTTCAGATTGAGGAGACCATCAGGGTAAATACCGGCTTGAAAACAGGATTGTAGTAGAGTTGAGGTACAGATTACATAATAGATAATAGATTACAAAATACAACAGACGCAGGATCACTATAGACTGTTTCAAGTATAGATTAAACATGAATATGAATTGAGTTCATATTCATATAAATAAAACAGAAAACTGCCTCGTTTCGGGTCAAACAAGTGTCCACTGCAGTTGCCCTTTATTCCTATGTCCCTCAATAAGATGACTCTTAAAATCAGCAAAAAAAGGGTTTTCTTGGATTTAGAGTTGAGAACGCAAAGCTTCGCCCATTACCCCCAAAGCTTCGCTGACCTTCCCAACTGGAGGA